CTGCATGGAAAGGACTGAGTTCTATTTATAGTTGTAGCCCACTACCAAAACATACTAGGTGTTGGATAAATATTTATTGAAGCTAAAATGTGAAATGAGTCTCCAAATAGCACAAGGTAGAGAACAGTCCCCTTAAGAAATTATCAAACTGAACTCAAGTCAAGACCTTGGGTTTCATTTTCATTAATGAAAGTGTCTCTGAACAACTTAGGTTTTCTTTCATCCACATCACCTTTAGTCCCAAATCATATAAGTGGATAAGCTTGCAGGACTGTTGCTGTACACTGCTAAGATACAAGTCTTTGAACATCTAAGGGACAAAAATGGTCAGTGAAGGGGGTATTAAACAAGTCCCAAGGCAGAGGCTAGGTATATCCTGTAAGCTTGTGGAGTTTGTTAAGTACAAAGTTTGTTAAGTGCATGCTGCTGTCATATGCCTAGTGGAATGGGAGCCATCATGCAGGTCTACATGGTGTATAGTGGGTTAATGAGAGGCCCCATGGCAACTGTGCCAGGCTCTGAGGCTAAGCTTCCTGGGTCCAGTCTTTGAATCCAGAACTTACTATCTGTATGATCCCAGGCATGTTGCTAGGTGCCTTGGTGAGCCCATCCATAAAATAGGGGCTATAATAATAGTACCTACAGATAAGATCGGTATAAGGATTTAAGTAATTAAAGGATTAAAGTAATTAGATTAAGCAAATAATTAAGGATTTAAGAAATAAGTGATTTGATTTCTGTAATGTTCTTGGCCTACAGTGCCTTGTAACTCTCAGTTGTCACTGTTACCATTGTTATTCTTGAACCCTCTACTTATTTATTCAATTTTTGAGTCACAGTCTCACTCTCTCTCCCAGTCTAGAGTGCATTGGCATGATCACAGCTCACCAGAACTTCAACCTCCTGGACTCAGGTGATCCTCCCACCTCAGTCTCTCAAGTAGCAGGGGCCACAGGTGTTCACCACTATGCCCAGCTAATGTTTTAAAAAATTTTTTATGGAGACGAAGTCTCACTATGTTGCCTAGGCTGGTCTCTTAACTCTTGGGCTCAAACAATCCTTCCTTCTCGGCCTCCCACAGTGCTAGGATTACAGGCCTGAGCCACGGAGCCCAGCTTTAGACTCACTCTTGTGCGTTTAGGCGTAAGCACCTAGATGAGTAGCACTGAACTGAGATCTGACACAAGAGTGGACACTGCAGGGTGTGTGTATGTGTGTGTGTGTGTGTGTGTGTGTGTGTTTGTGTGTACCCATGTGCACGCACACACAAGTGATATGTGTGAGAAAACTTCTGGACATAGGTAAGAACATACACAAAGGCAGCGGAGTTGTGATCAAGCAGGGATTTGCAACCCTGACTGCACATTTGAATCACTTGAAAAACATTTGAACATTTTTAATGCCTGGGAACACACTCTTGGGGATTCCGAAATGGTCCCAAACATCTGTAGACTTACAGCTTCCAGTGATTCTGATCTGCAGCCAGAACTGAGGATCATAGTGAGAGAGTGCTTCTCTTGACTTAATGCCTGTTCACCTTGAAGAGGCAGTGCAGGCATCACCTTCTCCAGGAAGCCTTCTATGGTCCTTCTGCAGCACTCATTATATAGCTCTTTCACAGTTCTCTATATTATAATAACCTGATTGAATAGCTATCACAGGACCATATGACTCTTCCAGGGCTGTACATATTTATATTTGGCTCCCAAGAACTCAGCACACCTCGAACACAGAACTGGTACTCAGTGAACCGTGCGAGGGTATGAGGGAGTGAGCCAAATCACGTGGTTAGAACCCACGTGGTTCCACAGTTCAGTGCTACTCATCTAGGTGCTTACTCCTAAATGCACAAGAATGAGTCTAAGGCTGGGCTCCATGGCTCAGGCCTGTAATCCTAGCACTGTGGGAAGCTGAGAAGGAAGGATTGTTTGATGATGAGGTGGAGAAGTGGCAGGGTGGATAGCTGAGGCTTTCAAGGCAAGTTCCGCCTTTGACAGGGCTGGGCCACAATTGTTCCTTGTTAGTGTCAAGGGCCTTTCCTTGGTCTTCTGAAGAAACCCTTCCAAGCCCGCCATCTGTAATTACACAGGCCCAGGCATCTGTGAGAGTAGGAAAGTCCTCTTGTGGCTTAATTAGAAGCTTCTTTAACCTTATCTGAAGCCATTTCTGTAATCAACTGAGGGAAAAAGTAATTCTCCCAAAGACATATTTAATGAATAGCTTTTCTTTTTTCTCATTTTCACTGGGATGGCCGAGCTTGAAATTTATTCTATGTTTGCCAGAACTGCTATGGTGGAGGGGGCGGTGCTGTGGATGAGAGAACAAGAAGCCAGGAAGGGTAGTCTGAGTTACAGCAGCATGGGGCACCTCCCATTGATGTCAAGTCACCTATTCATTTAATAATGAGTTACTCAGCCTCCGTTCTCTATTACCCCTTGTGCTAAGTGCTAGGGATGCTGGGAAGGCTAATGCCAAAAATTCAGGCAAGGAGACATGTAAAAAGTAAAGCAGGCAATGTATGGCTAGAGGTGTCATGAGAGAGGTCTGTGCAGGTCAAGGAGATTTCAAGGAGAGGAAGGTTGGTCTTATACTTTCAGTACAGTAGAAGTTTCGAAAGAGTCATCAGAAATGAGACACAGAATTTCTCCTGAAATGTTTTCCTGGTAGAGAATAGACAAGTCCAAAGTGGTGAAGAGAAGAAGAAAGGAAGTTGGAAGTTGAGAAGAGAAGGTGTTCCAGGAACAGGGTGCAGCCTGCTCAAAGGCCTGGTTGTTGGAAACAGCCAGGCTTGTGCAGGGCATTGCAAGCAGATTAGTATGGCTGGGAATGGGCATGCATTGATCCAGGATGGAGAGGTTGTCAGGGGTAAGGTGGAAAACTTTCAGAGGCAGAATTTTGCCAAGTATTGATGTAAGAGACTGACTTTTATTAGCGAAGATCCCTGGTTGGAGAAACTAAGTCTAAGTCACTTGTAGTTCATCTGAAACCTCACTCTTCAGCCTGAAGGTTTTTTGGTGTCTGAGCCTGTCTCCCAACTTTTAGTTTTCTGCCTCTTGATGCTTTTGACCATTATGTATGGGACTGAATCAAGAGTGAATATTTCTGGTTTGACTTCTGCCTGCCACAGAGGCATTGCTGGAAGTAATAGTTCCATCAGAAGTAGATGCAGGCCATTCCTTTATTATGGAATCTTTTAGCTGGTGTCATCATCAAAGACTGATCTTACCTCTTGAAAAAAGAAGCTCAGAGATGCTACAGTTGAATGGTGCCTTGTTTCTGGACATTAGGGAGCTTTACTGTGTTCCAAACTCTTCTTTTTCTCTTGTTCGTGCTCTTGGATACCTCATTTTACTTGATCTGTCTTCACTAGCACCAGTCTTCAGTCTAATAATAGCAAAAGGAACTTTCAGGGTTTTAATTATTAGACTTGGATCTTCCAACATGTTATTACATCCAAAAGCAGTTATTTGCTATACCCACTCATTCTGCAGATGAGGAAACTGAGGCATAGGACAAAGAAGGGAAGAGATGGAATTTGAAATGGCTCTAGTTGTGGCATCTGGCCCATCCTGCATGTTAGAGAACTCCACACCATGTTTAATTGTTAGTCCATATTTCTATCCCCACCGCTGATTGAAGCTGCCTACAGACAGAGACCCTCTCTTATTCATCTTTGTGTCCTCTTTTATTTTAAACATGTGCCCAGGACATGGAAAATGCTCATTAAATGCTTGTTGAATAAATGATGAAAGCTAGAGCTGTGTCAGGCCTTGGCATCTGACTCCCTGCCTCTCCTCGGAGACCTCACCACCTTTCTCTTCTCTTCGGAATTCAAGTGACTCCCTAAAAAATGGCTTTCCTAGTTCTAAACTTCAACTATCTCAAGTGTTTCTGTCCAAAGAGTCTTCCCCTAAAGGCTCCAGGTCCTCTCTAGTCTGGTTCCTTTCTGTTTTAGTCGATGCAATTAATCAGGAATTCTCCTTAAGAAATGTGAAGTGATTCAGAAATATTGTGGTGGACAATGCTATTGAGCACCTGCCACGTACAAATCACCTAGCTGCTAGGGTGCTGTGAGGTTATAAAGACTATATCTTCAACAACAGATGTTTTTAAACACCTACTATGTGAAGATGGTGTGATCATGTGGCTTTGTGGTCACACAGCCCTCTAGTTGAATCCCTGCTCTGTGTGATCTCGGACATTCTATTTGCTAACACTCATCTTACTTTTCTGTGATAGGATGACTATAATAACTCCACCGATGTAGGTATTAGATGGAGAACGTATGTAGAATGCTTAGCGGTCTTCCTGCCAAATAGGAGATATTAATAAATGGAAGCTATAACGATTGCAAATTATGGAGTTCAGAAGTTGATGGGACATGGAGTAGAGTCTAGTATAAAAAGCTGCAGTTCTCTGAGGAGTTTGGGAAGGGTGTGAATGGTGGTTTTCCAGCTGGTGGCAACAGTGAAGATGTCATGAAGCAAGTGTCATTGGATGTGGGCACTTAAAGGCAGGATAAATTGAATTTTGTGGTGATGGGATTAAATGGGGTGGATAAACAAGTTAAAAAGGGGGTGGGCAGAATAAATAAAGTGAGGCCACATTAAAGGTGTAAGATTTTTGTGGAAGTCTAAGAGTAAGCTGTGTTTAGAGCAAATATAAAAATAAAATAAAATGGAAGAGATAGACTTGAGCTAGATAATCTGTGAGCTTGCCTGTTATACAAGGGTTTGGATATTTTCCTATAGACTTTGAAGAACTACCTAAATAATTTATTGTTGCCATTGTTGCTTTAACTCCCAGATCAAAAATGATAAAGAGATCTGATAGGACTATGAAGTATAATGCAATACTGCCACTGCATATATGCAGAAAAAGATTAATCAAGAACAGAGAAGTCAGTAAAGACTTTAGGAAGAAGACTGCAGGACCTTAATAGAGTAGGAGACCTTGAAAACCACTTTTTTTCCCCTAACCACTTTTTTTTCCCTCTCTAGATGCTGAACAATCCAGAGAAGATAGCTGAGCAGATAAGTAAGGATCTCGCCTGGCTTGCCTCCCACATGATGGCTCTGTGGACCCAGTTCCTGGATGTGGTGACCCTTCACTCACAAGTAACGACTTATCTCACCCAGGAACATCACAGCCTGAGGGTAAGTTGTCAACTTGTATAAATTCTCGAATCACATGCATTTGATTTGTTTGAGGAAGCTTTATGAAAATTAGTTCAAGAATTCGGACTGGTCTCTAGAGCGCTCATCCTGCTACCACCATGAACATGCAGGTGACATTCTAAACTTGTTTAGCCTCTCAGACCTTTCTCATTCATGGAGCGCCTGCTTTGGCTATCTTGGATGACAATAGGGCCCATTACAAGGAATATCACATGAGCTTTCAAAATAGTTTGGAAAATGTATTTTCCAGTGTGGGTCATTGATCTTAGTATATTTCTCTGCCATCATCTTGGTTGTATACGCAAAAAAAAAAAAAAAAAAAAAAAAAAATGCTGGTCTTCTCATTTAGAACAAGAGGACAAAATATCTAAAAAACAGCGTCCGCAAAGTGTTTAGGGAATATACTTACATGACTGACTTTGAGAATTCTGTTTTATTTGCATTTATTTATGAACCATGTTTGCAAAGGTCTTGCATACTAGTAGAAAAAATAAGACCTAAATATAAAAATGATAGCAGACAATGCAAGAACAGATTCATAAACATGCATTAAACTGTGTCCATAAACCAGGTGTGGAATAAGAGCTGTGAATGAGAAAGAACAGCTTGGAAGACTATGAGACTGTTGTTTCAGAACCTCCAGATTATTATTATTTTTTAAGGGAACTAATACCCATCCAAAGAATTAAATGATTTACACTGTTTTATTCTTCAGGTCCGAAGGTTTTCTGAGGCCTTCTTTTATATGGAGCATCAAAAACTTGCAGTTCTCACCTTTCAGGAAAATTTGTAAGTAATACTTTGTATACTCACTTCACCCCCTAAAAGCAGCCAAGCAAGACATTCTTGTTCAAAGTTAATGTTCACCTCTGGATGTGAAGGAGAGAAGTCTGCCCACCTCTGCACATTCCGTCTGCATTTCCTCTGCAGGCAAAAAAGTCAGACAGATTGCAGAGGTGGGAGCTGGCAGGTGGCAGAGAAGGTCACCAGCCAAAGTTTTCTTTTGTTGAGTGTCATTATGAATTTGCAGACAGAATCAAGACTTCCTAGGTCCCTGAAGACATCTGTGCTGAGTCCTCCGCAAAATGAATTAGAAGCAGGTGGTGTGGCCACAAGCTATGTAAGAAAAAACACAGAATTCACTTGAGACTGTGTGGTAGCTATGAAATGCATTTAGCATAAGAATTAAGTCTGAACTACCTAATTAGGAAGGCCTCTAAATTTTTAAGTTTGACATTTTCCAGAAAAAAAAAAGAAAAAGAAAAGTACTCAAGAAAGTCAGAGGGTTGATGGATGATGAGGTCATTGTCTCCCACAGATTCCCTAGTGAACAGGAACAGAGATTCCTCCAAAATGTTTTGGCCTCTGCTACAAAATTCGTGGCTTTTTTTTTCTTCCAAATGACATGTTCACCTCAAAAAATAAATGTGGATGAAATACTGTTTGAGATGCCATGGTAAATCTAGAATGAGAAACACTTGAGATTCGTCTGTCACTCAAGACAGACCTGAAGATCTTTTCACCTTTGTCTTTATAATCTTATTTTCTCTCTACACTTCATTCTGTTTGGAAAGTATATGGTTTGCCTTATTAATTCTGAAAGTGTAAGAGGGTCACTAAGGAAAGCACAGCTGCATATTGAAATAGCTTGTCTGGAAATTTCTAGAGTCTTTCACTCACTCATTTATTCATCCATTCATTTCAGTCTCTAGCTAGAACTGACAGAATGCATTTTCTAGAACCAAAATCAGAAAAGGTAATACACCAAACATAAGCATAACTTTGAGGGCCACTGAATAAAATATTGCAAATCTGAATTACAACATGAAATCAACTTGCCAGAGTCACCACGGCAACAGGTAAGCCTTAGGTTGTTGAGCCCTGATTGAATTCTCATGCACACATGTGGAGGCAAAAGGAACAAAAAAGTAACTATTCTCCTGGAAGGTCTTTGTTGGAATGACAACTACATGTTCAAAGAGCAAATGATCCAGTGCTCAGACAACCTGGGTACAAGACTCTGTTCTTCCATTTTTTTTTGGCAGTGAGATTTTTGTTTGTTTGCTTTTAGTTTTTTTAAAATACAGATGACATTTTGCTATGTTGCCCAGGCTGGTCTCAAATTCCCGGGCTCAAGCAATCCTCCCGCCTTGGCTTCCTGAAGTGCTAAGATTACAGGTATGAGCCACCACACCTAGCTGGCAGTTAAGTTTTGAAAGAGTTATTTTTTATGTCGTTCTTGGCTCTTTCTTTGCCCCTATCCAGTCTTAGTCTTAGTTTTCTTAGCCATAAAATAGGCAGGATAACAGTTATGAGTACCAAGTGAAAGCAACCATGCACACAAGGACACAGTGAAAGCCACAGACTCTGCTCAGATACTGTTAAATGGTGATTAATGAGGTACGCAGACATTTATTGTCCATATGGGCAGTTGGAATACAGCAGGAATCCATTAAAGATGCTATCTTCATGGGTCACTCATTATAGTAGATAAACAAACAAGGCATAAATTGTATCATCAGGTAGTGGCAAGTAGAGAAAAATAAAGCAAGGCAAGGGCAAAGAAAATGAAGACAAAAGGTGTATGGTCAGTGTCCTCATAAATGTTTAACAATCAGCTTTCAGAGTGCTAAAAAAACAAACACTGCTTTGTAGTGTTTACTTATTTCTTTTGTGTAAATATTCCCACAATGGTCAATTTCAAGTTACCAATGTGTCATTATTGAATGTGGAAAGAGATGTTCACAATCAGCCCTTGCAAACCAATATGAACTGGCTGCAAGGCAACAGTTTGAGTGTGGGAGAAAGACCGTTTTAACCAAAGTAATAAGAAAAAGGCTTTCTGAAGATGTGACAATTGAACAATGTCTGGGGTTACAGTAAGCCATGCCATGACACGGGAGAAGATTGTTAAGGTGGACAGAATAGTGACTGTAAAGGTTCTGATATGGACACATAGTGTATTTGAAAAGCAGTGAGAAGATAAGTGTAGCTAAAATGGAGTGAGCAAGTAGGAGAAAGAAGGAAGGGAGAGTTAGAGAGAAAAGTAGGGACCAGTCCATGTGCAGTCTTGTGAACCAGGAAAAGACTGATTTTTTTTTTTCCTAGAGCATGAGTATAAGCCTTGACATTTCAAATCTCATGTACATGGTTTAAAATCTTGAGTCTGTAACTTGTGTTTTTTTTTTTGTTGTTGTTGTTGAGTTGGAGTCTCACTCGGTCACCCAGACTGGAGTGCAGTGGCCACTCCCGGCCACCACAGCCTCGACCTGCTGGGCTCCGGAGATCCTTCTGCCTCAGCCTTCCGAGTAGCCGGAATTACAGGCATGCGCTACCACACCCGGCTGATTTTTTGATTTATTGTAGAGATGAGGTCTTGCCAAGTTGCCCAGGCGGGTCTCGAACCTGCGGGCTTAGGCAATCCACTCACCTCAGCCTCCCAGGGCGTGGGATTACAGGCTGAGTCACCGAGGCCGGCTGAGTCTGTAACTTGTAATACATGTGACACCAAACTGAACTTCTCTTTGCTGTTTTGTTTTTTGTTTTTGTTACTGAACCTCTCTTTGCTGTTTTTTTTTTTGTTGTTGTTGTTACTGAACCTCTCTTTGCTGGTTTTTTAGATGCATATGAAAGATTTCTTCATTCAGTAAAAATCTATTTATTGTTGACTATTTGCCAGACACTATTTTGAACGTTGGATATTCAGCAGTCAAAACAGACAAATTTCCTATCTCATGGAGCTTATAATTTAGAGGTAGAAGGGATTTAAGTATATAAATATGATATACCCAATGGTAATTAGTGCTATGGAGAAACTTATATCAATGTGAGATGAACAGAGGGCGCTATTTAATAGAGTTGTCAGGGAAGGTCTCCTTGAGAAAGTGACATATGAGTGGAACTCTAAATCAGGTATGAGACTGAGCTCTGCAGATCCCTAGGAGATTATAATATTTGTCTTATGAGTAACTTCAGAGATTAAAGAATGTTTCAAGGATTCCACTAATAGTAGATATTAACAGAAGATATAAATCTAAAAACTAAGATAGAAGGGATACTACTCAGAAGAAAGTAAATTTTTAGTTAGCAAGAATAAGAATAAGAAGAACTATAAAATAACGAGGGAGATTTTTATTTCAGGTTGATAAAATTACTAGACAAAAGGTACACAGTACTGTGAAGAGAATTGAAACTTAAAGTGAGATAGTGAAGAGGGCTATGCAGTTCCTCCAGCTGTGTGTGCTCACAAATGAAGCAACACTGCACTCTGTCAGGATGGGCACATGGAAATACAAGGTGGCATGGGTGAAACTCACCTGTCAAGACCCATCGTGTTCAAGCTCAAGTTAAATTGTTTCTCAAACAATAGGTCACAATCATTTAGTGGACAGTGAAATTAATTTAGTGCGTTTGGAACAGTGCTTATTAGATAGAATAACATAGGCTAGAAAAGGAAAGAAATGAACGAGATATAATAGGTGGTAAGAATAGGAAGTATGTGCTGAAACTTTTGTTTCAGTATGAGTTTCTGGGAGTATGTGATAGTACTGGGTTGCCATGGAAATGAATACCATCTTTTGCCATGGTTGTAATGTTTTAAAAGTGTTAAAATAATTTGGAAACGACTAGCAGCAAGGATGTGTTTATTGTCTCCCTTCTCTGTTTTCTCTGCCAAGCCAGTGCTTTTCACACAGCAAGGAGGTGTTGAGTGAATTTTTACTAATGAATTGATGTGAAAGTAGTGATGGATATAACGACCTATATAGTTATCTTAAATTCCATAACAGTAATAATTAAGATGTCACTTTGTATTTTACATTTTCTATGTTGATAATTGTAACACTAATTTTTTTTAAAAAGGGATTCATTCTAAAAGATGTCATGACTATAGGTTGAACAAGATAGGCATTTTACCTGTCTTTGTGTTGCTAACAGTCTATCAAGGTTGCTCTGATAAAAAAATGTCTAAATGCTTTACATGCATTGGCTAAGTCAATGTTCACATGGTCCCTATGAGGCGATGGCGTTTTTCTCCCCCAGTTTACAGAAAAATAAGTTGGGGAAACCTGGACTTAGAGAGGTTACCTAACTCATCTTAGACCACATAGTGAACAGGTGACACAAACATGGATCTCTTGGAAGCCAGAGACTACATCCCTAGCCTCCGTGCTAGGGCTGTTCTCGACAGTATTGAGTCATTATTTTAAATAATACATGAGAAGAAATAAAGTAAAATGTGAATTTTTCAACATCTAAAATAGGAGTATCTTTATAATGTTGGGTTATACTCTCCAAATCGGGAGTATAGCCCAACACCCTAAGTCAGGAGTCAGGTAAACCTGACACTGAAATCAACAGGTAATGAACCAGGCCTTATATGTTCTGTAAGATTCTTCCCCTAGTTGGTGTACAGAATAGCCCATTTGAAACCTGTGACTGTCTGCCTGAATGCACAGGATGAGACTGTGTCTGCCCACTGGGCTCACAGGCTGATTTGCATGCAGACCCAGCTTCCTTGAGTGTCATTTAGATGGATGAGGAAGTAGCCATGCACTGAACAGGAGCCACATGTCGAGTGTACATGCTCAGACACAGGCATGCAAGCCTGACCCAGACAGCTTCATCCAAGCTAGCTTCTTTTAACTTGTGTGGCTTCTACAGTGGGTGGGCCAGAGAAGAATGGTATGGGGAGGGGATTGGGAGAAGATAGTCTGATAGAGAAAAGGTAGAGTTCAGATTTCTGTTTGAATCCTTTTGATGATAGAGGGAATGGGGATTTATTATTTAGTTAATGCCATTCAGTTAATGCTAGTGTTAATTGCTAAGATAGTTATTCATTCAATTCCCTTCCTTCTTCCTTACATCCTTTTGCATAGTTATTGATCATCTATTATGTCTAGGCATTGGTCTGGGGAATTTAGATACAGTAATCTGAAAAGAAAAATAGGTAGACGAAGTCTTTGCTCATATTGAACAGAGAAGAAAATACATAGATTTGCAAATAAGTCCTAAAATTTAAAATAGAGTTAAAGAACTTAAACCTAATGGTTTTTAGTTTTGATTTTGGGTGAACTGGATCAGTACCTCTCAAGTAGGGTGTTAAAGAATAACATTTCTGAGAGTGTGACATTGACACTAAGGTCTGGAGGAGCCATGGAGGAGAGGGCGTTCCAGGTGGAAATCACAGTCAATGCAGAGCCTGAATGTCATACTCAAGCTGGTGGGGCTGGAGGGTCATGTGTGAGGAAGAAAGTGGATAGTTAAGTAATAGGGATGGCAGGGATGGGGAATCATTCCGGGCCTTGGAGGGGCAGTTCAGAAGTCAAGATACATTCCCAGTTTTGCTAGTAATGAACTTGACTCCAACTCCTCCCCCACATGCTCCCTGCAGTTTCCTTAACTCAGAGGGAAAGTTGTTCTTTTCTTTAAATATTGTGCAAATAGTCTAACCTTTAATCAACGTTTTTTCAACCATACCTCTTTATTCCCTACAGAATCCTATAAAACACACACACACATACACACACACGTGTGTGTGTATGCATGCAGCAATATATTCCCTCCCAAGCATACACCCACCTACAAACATAGGCACACACATGCACACTTCCACATTTATAAACACATATGTGCCACACACACACATGCCCACACATGCACTCATGAAAACATACATGCATGCACATCCACACCCACAAACACATACTTGCATATCCCACACATGTAAACAAACCCACTCACTCACGTGGTCAGAATTATCTTTCTAAAACATAAACAAGGCTGTGGTACTTCTTGACCTAGAGGTCTACACTGCTCCCTCGTTGCCCACATAGGGTCTAGATTCAGCAAGATGTTCAGGACCTTCATGCACCTGTCCAACCTCCCGTCTCAGTTTCCTCTCAGCCTCTCTTGCAGGGAACTCACAGGGAGTCAGAGCATATTCATCACTCCCTATTTCCTTGCATACAACATGCTGATTCTTTGTTCATTTAATGATTATTTTTTGACTACCCACTGTATGGGAGGCATTGTTTAAAGTGCTTGGGGTACAGCAGTGAGCAAAACAGATGGAACTTGGGGGAAGACAGACAGCATTATAAATCAATGGATTACCCTGCAGGTGGAAGGTGACTGGTATTGTAAAAAAGCAGAGCAGGGAAAGAACTTCTAGTTGAATAGATTGAAGTTTTATATCATTGATCTTTACCATAGAACAGAGAGTATCCTTCCTGAAACACATCTTCCCAACTTGCTTCAGTCAATTAGCACCTAATAATTCCTAAGGATTTGTTTTAGTCAGAATTCTCCAGAGAGACAGACTTCATAGGAGAGATATATATATATGGAAGCTGATGGTGGCTGAATTCCTGAGAACCCGTAAAGTCAGAGGGGGTGGAGGATGGCATGGATTCGAGTCCCAGAGTCTAAAAGCTGGAGGATCTGGAGTTCTGACATCCAACAGCAAGAGAAGAAGGGCATCTTTTCTTCTTCCTCCATCTTTTTGTTCCATGCAGGCCCCGGCCTATTGGTTGGTGCCTGCCCATATTGAGGGTGGATCTTTCCCTCTCAGTTCAACAATGCACGCTCCAACCCCCTCCAGAAACACCCTCGAGGACACACCTGGGCAGCCCCGTCATCTTAATCAAATCTCAAACTTGCTGGGCTCCCCTTCATCAGAAGCATTGAGACTAACTAATGCAATAATTGAGAATAAATAATGCTTTAACAGCTGTCTGGGTATCCCATAATTCAGTCAAGTTGACACCCCAAATCAACCATCACAAGTCCACCCTTTGTCAACTTGGCAACCATTCACATCTCCTGGAACCATACCTAATCTTCACATAAAGACAATAATAAGGTCATAGCTCTGTCTAGTATGATACAACTGTCCTGCAACTGTCTCCAGGAATCTGCAGTGTACTGACTGTTTTCCAAGTCAGAGGCGGGCAGGGCAACCTCCCTCCCCACTCCCCCTGCCCCCCACGAGACCTGCCTAGCAAAGCCTTGCAGTTGCCTATGGTGGTCCTGCAGGATCACACATAGCACGTTGGCCTAGAGGCAGACTCCTCAAATTCCTGCAGTCAGAAATGGGCATAGATTCTCATGTTCCCCTCAGAATTTTTAGTCATTTTTTTCAGCACATGCTAAGCATTGTTTTAGGTTCTTGGTCACATTCACAAAAGCCCTATGTTCAAGAATCTACATTCTGGTAGGAGACCACACCCGGCCTAACTTAGACCTGACTCCTTAACACCCATGATGCTGTGTTGTAATTACTTGCTCAATCACTCGATATTTTTTATGATTGTGTAAGTTCATTAGACCTAGGATCAAGCTTCAGTTCTCTAGGTATATGTGCTAGTCTGTCCACACCAACCTAAGAACACTGATGGTCAATCAACATTTTTTTTTTTGAGTCAGAGTCTCACTCTGTAGCCCAGGTTGGAATGCAGTGGCACACTCAAGACCACTGCAGCCTCGACATGCTGGGCTCAGATGATCCTTCTGCCTCAGTTTTCCAAGTAACTGGAACTACAGGCATGCACCACCATGCCCACCTAATTCTTCTTGATTTATTGTAGAGACCAGCTCTTGCCAAGCTGCCCAGGCTGGTCGTGAACACCTGGGCTCAGGCAATCCTCTCATCTTTGCCTCCCAAAGTGCTGGGATTACAGGCATGAGGCACTGCACCCGGCACAATCAACACATCTTTTAATAAATCAAAAGCTGAATCAGAAGTTCCTGATTCAAAGGGTGGTACACAGTGCAGAATTGACTGTAACAAAATTCCACTTAAGTATTCATAGAAGAATAACTTAAAAGTTAAATATTCAAAGAGTTCACAGGGTTACAAAGTTTTAAAAACCTTCAGGGCTTTGAGGAAGAGGAAAAAAATCTCCCCCCCCTTTACTCTGGTAGTTTAAGATCCAATTGAAAAATAAAAGAAAACCAAAATAAACATATTTAATGTGTATATTAAATTGATATGTTTACCAAGTAATATCCAATATGTGAATTTAATGTAGAGTATATGAAACATACATACATAAAATACCATTTATGTATATATGTTTATCTTCTTATATCTGTTACTGAGAATGCTGAGTTAGAGAAATTTCTTTGGACCTGTGCAGAGTTCCACAGCTATGAAGCTCTTCTACAGGGCAGATGGTCTGCAAAACTGGAGCATGAGATGGGGTCTTTTGAAAGTCAGGCTATTCCAACAAGAGTAACAGACAGCCAGCCAGACAGATAGACAGATGGACAGAAACTAGCTACACAAGCTTAATTCTTCTCCCAAACTCACCAATTTCATAAGCCTCTTCTCTTCTTTTGTATGAAGAATGATTGAGTTGAGTGAAGAAAAATAATAAAATGTTAATTTTTTTCTTTGTGGATTAAAACAGTTTCTTCTGCAGTGACTTGAGAGAAGAGAACAAACATTTTCTACCACCCCACCCTTTGAGTTAAGAATAGTGCTTATTCCAAACTATGGAATAGATTGCCTACTGATTAAAGAATGTTTGGGTCATGGATAAAGAATATGAGACATTTTTTAAATCCTACATAAAAGAACCATATATAAAAATATGATTCCAGAACTAGAGAAACTTATACCCTAATGAAAGATGCCATTGTCCCCATAATAATCAATAGAATATTATTTTTGATGTTTTTAAATTCAAATATGCCAATATATGAGTCAGATCCTAAGTGGTTTAAGAAGTTAGAAAAGCACAAGTAAAAGACACATACATTTAAGTTTTTCCTCCAAAGACAAATTTAAGTCTCCTAAATGTTTAAAAACTCAGCTGACATTCCACTAACATGGTATTTATTACATTCCACTAAAATGATATGTGATAAGTACCCTTGTGTTTCACCTAGTCCTACAATTCATGTCTAACCTCAGTACCTAAGCCAGTTCCAGAACAAAGCAGACTATAGCTCTGGGGGCTGAGCAGGTGGGAAAGGAAGAATGATGGACATACAGCAAATTTCCAGATTCTGCCAAACACTGTCCACAAGTTTTCTTGGGATTAGGAAGATGGGGCACCAGTTGAAAGACTTTAACTCTTCCTTGGATGCTCACCCTGCCTGTGTACTCCCCAGGATACAGACCCACAGCCAGCTGTCTCTGGACATCCGGAATTCTGAGTACCTCAGCAGCATGCCCCCACTGCCTGCAGAGTGCCTGGACATTGATGGTGATTGGAACACCCTGCCAGTTATCTTTGAGGACAGATATGTGGACTGCCCTGCAACAGGTTTGTCTTTTTCATTTTGAAAAAAAGAGAGACTCAAGAATAAGACCTTCCAGGGGGCTTCAGGCAGTTGCCCTGTTCATATCCCAACAACAATGGGACCAAATTAATAAAGTATTTTGTCAGTGCATAGAGAAGGGAACACGGCTAATTAATTGTTTTAAAGGTCTGTACATCAGTGAAACTGACAAACTAATACAACAAAAGAGCAATGATAGTAAATACTCCCCCACTGATGCCTTCTGGGGTGGAGTTGTATCTAGTGCCTCAGTGTTTTCACCTACAAAATGGGAGCCAGATTCCCTTCCCCACCACCAGAGTGACATGAAAGTCAGATGACAAACCTTTCTTAGCTCTAGTGTGCAGCTCAAATACAAGGTCGTTTCTAGTTGAACTTTAATAGCATTGGGGTCAGACTCTTGTGAAGTGCCTGTTTTATGCTACAAGCCAGGCATAGTACTTAAGAAAGTGGGCTGCTTATGGACAGTAAGTGTTCTGTCCCACAGCACTGCTCCTGCAAACCTGACAAGCTAGAGACCTGTGCTCCATTCAAAGACCAGAAAAACGCCAAATCTCCATGCTGGGTATTTTAGGTGCTTTGCTTCTCTAATTCTATAAACAACCTCACAAGCTCTATTTCAGACATACTCTAAGGCACAAGGAGTATAAGAATTTATTAAGAATCACATAATTTATTAAAACCGACATTCAAAGCCAACTCACTCTGATTCCAAAGTCCACACTCTGCCATGTGATCTCCCTGTAAGGTGTTTTTAAATCATTATGTTTAGACACCCACCATTTAAATGGTGCATTAGGATTGCTAAATTTCAGAGGTCTTGCAATCTGAGACTTGTAGGATGCTTTGAGAATCCAGGTGACTTCCAAGGACAGTGCAACCTTGTAAACGCAGGAAGTTATTTGGTTCTTAGTCACACCCTGACATCTAGCGTCCACATAGTGTATGACAGCTAAAATGTGAACAGGCTAGAATGACCTTTAACCCAACTGTTCCAAACAAGGGTACCTGCATGACTGGTGTTTATATACCTAACCTTTAATTGTACCCCACATCTTTATAATAAACACGTAAATTAAAAAATATAAAATTAAATAAAATTAAAAAAACAAGTTTGAAACAAGGCACTGAGACTTTTTCTCATGAATTGTGTGTGTTTGCATATTTATACATGAGAATGTGTACATGTGAATAAGTTCATTATAGTTATATTATTTAACCACAGAAAATTTCAATAGCTAGACAAGAAACTTAAGTGCAGTCTCTAATACTATCACTGTTACGTATTGTTGAAGGTTGTCTTTCAGTTTTTTTCTACATATATTAATAAATATTCTAATGAATATTCTGAAAAATGCAGATCTCAGTTTCTCATTGTATGCCCTTGTTTCACATTGCTTTTAAATAAATCAATTTTACTTCTTCTGTGAGCCTTACCCTGTCTTACATCCATGCCCCCAGGAGTCCTAAAAAACAGCCAGACACAGTTGGGGGAGGTTTTTCTAGGGTTATCTGCATGTGTAAGTTCTTATAAGCTGTTTGTTATCTGTACTTATATCGTATTTTAGGAGCAGACTCTCCTTGCAGCTTCTGTGATGAGCTCGAGGCTGGGACCCTGGCATAACACACGTGCCCTGTCCTCCTAGAAAAACCACAAAGCTATTACTTTCAGAGGCTGGGGCCCAGGCTTCCCACTACACACCTCTGACATGAATCAATCCCATCTACCAAAACTACAAAATTATCTGTACCCTCATGCAAAACTCTAAGCTTTTCTTGAATTTCTTGATCTTGTGCAAAACACTTTGATGATTCTGTAACCCCAGATCAAAAACATTAGCAATAAAGAACTATTTTCTGTTTCCTCAAGATCTTGGTGGCCTTAATATTTATGCCTTGCTGTGAGGTTATCAGATACATTTGTATTTTGTTCTTTTAGTGTAGCAACAAAAAGAAAGTAAAAATATTCCATTTCCATATTAAAATAATAACATTTGTTTATGGTCTACTACAGTACCATCCACTAGATAACTAACGTGTACCGTGCAGGCTGTAAATTCAATCTTTATATCTCCCATGCCCATATCCCAAGGCAATTGAGCAATTTGTCAAAAGCCTTAAGAGGACCAGACTGTCTGGATTTGAGTATTTCCCTCCCAAACAACTAGTAACTGTATGAAATTGGGAAAACCGTGGCAACACTGGAGAGAGCAAAAGGATTAGTGGTTGCCAATGGTTAGGGTCCAATTCTCTTTGATCTAGATCCTTTGCTATTCTCATTTTTTCCACAGTTGCAATAGTGAAACTAAATGTTGGCTGTTTGGCAACGCTCTTTCTCACTGCCCTTCCTGTATTTTGTCTTAATTGTGTCTAATACATCTGATAAGTCTTTATTTTTTGTTCCAAGAATTTACAACCTGTCATCTGTAAGGTAAAGTCGAGATGCCTCACTCATACATGACATTCTAGTTCATCCCTAGTGCAGAGTTCTCTCTACCTGTCTAACCCTCTGACACCTCACTCTTGCTCCATCCACTTGAGATCTAACCAATGTCTGACTAGATTGTGCCCACCCAGCCCCCTGGGCCCTGAAGAAGCTCATTTCATATTCCCCAGTCGCCCCTATTCTTTAGTTCCTTATTTTTTTTAAAGGCTTTATTATTTTAGAGCAATTTTAGGCTCCCAGCAAAGAGAATTGAAGAAGGGGCAGACATTTTCCATATGCCCCCTGTCCCGACACATGCACATTCTTCCTCATCATCGACCTCTCCCACCTAAGTGCTGCATTTGACTCATTATCATGCAAAGTCCCTGGTTCACACCAGGATTCTCTCTTGGCGGCTGTGTGTTTGGACAAATTTATAATGAATGCCATGCTTCCACTGTTATAGTACCCTACGAAGTGGTTTCACTGCCCTGAAAGTCCTCTGTGCTCAACCTATTTATCCTTCCTTCTCCCCCAACTCTTGACAACCATTGGTCTTTATGCTGTCACCATAGTGTTGCCACAGCCCACATGCATTGGCAAGAGAGATAGTTGTACCTATGAATGTTTCACAGTGTTTTGCAGATCTCTTATAACTGATGCCCACTTCCCCTCTTCTAAATCCACTGCCTAAAATAAAGATCTTTCATGTGGAATATGTCAATGTAGTATTTGAGGAACTAAATGACATTGACGTAATTTTTTTTCAAACCAAGGCAAACAGTTCATGAGCATAACGTTTTTTGCTTTGCTGGATTTCAGTTCTGTTCTCAATTCATTTTATGAGCGCAGTTCATTGACTATATGCTAGGCATGATGCAAGTCTTCAGGCTATAGAGACTCATTAAACACAAACTTTTCTCTCCAGAGGGGACAGGAAATGTACATGCAGATCAAAGTATGGAGGTAGGATATCTCACATTCTGTGTGTAGAAGGGACACTTGAAATTTTCAACATCTAACTTGCTGTAGCCTGTGGAAAGGGTCTCCTAGAGAAAGGGAAATTTGCTCACAGTCTCTCAAGATGCAAAGAATGTGTCCAGGTAAGGAAGACATCCATTATTTTTTGACTCAATCGTAAATTTTACTCAAAGCTATCAGACGATAATGTCTCAAAACCCCCTGCCATTTTAAAATAGTGTCTCAATGGTTTACTTCATGATCACATTCAACAGTGATTGTATTTATTTAACTTTTATTAAAATCATAAAGGTAATTTAAGGACAGTAAAAATTCCACTTTTGTTTGTTGTATCTGGAAATTAAATTACATATCCAATGACTATCTTGTGAGAGCTATAGTACAGACAGATATGAAAGGCACTTATTTTTGTCCAAGTATGAATTAGAAGGGGGAGAGAGAGAGGAGACGGAAGAGGGGAGAAGAAAGGAGAAAAAAGATTAAGAAAGATAACAGTTTACCATGGGGCAATCCCTTTGGGTCCCCTTCCCTTGTGGGACCTTTTCTGTCCTCTCAATAAATCCTACTTTCTCAAAAAAAAAAAAAAAAGTTTGCCATAAAGAAAAATAGAAAAAAAATCATGCTGGCTCTCCACCATCTGATTATGAAGATCAAAATGATTCTGGGGGCTTCCTTATGGTCTGAATACGATGTAGGACAATGACCCTGGTTATATACCTCAAGTTTGGCGGTATTTTTCTGCAGAAAGCAGAAATCTGTCTTCCCTATGTGTAATATCATTTCATATAATTGATGACCATAAAACTTGCTGGTTACTATGAATCTGCCCATTCTAGAGTTGAGAAAAGGGAACTCTAATGGCAAAAATAGCTTACTTAAGTTTTACAGTTGTCTAAGGTGGGTAAGAGACAATGTCAGAATTGAAAATCACACTTTCCTGGCTCAAAGCTATCTTTAGAGCAAATACTGTACATATAAGGTTAAGAAATGCTTTAATATATATAAGTGGAAATTATTAAATATATTTTGATAAGTTAAAAGTAAATTTTAAAATGACAAGATTTGGCAGGCTTCTTTTTGTGCCGTGAAATTCTGATAGTAACTACCCAGAGTTAGGTTGACTTTATAGTCTAAGGACAAAATCCTTGATAAGAATGACCTTATTTTCTATATCAGATGCATACTCAGGGGTTCCTAGATCACCCACACTTTGAACCAACTGGCTAAAAATTCTGGATTCCAAAATCCCATCAGGTTCAACAATTTGCTAGAAAGAGTCTCAGAACTCAAGAAAGCACCACACTTATGACTGCATTTTTACTATAAAAGATACAAATAAGGTTCAATCAAAAGAGGAGATTCATAGACTGAGGTCTAGAAGGTCCCATACATGAAGTTTCTCTTTTCTCAGGACATGCCACCCTCCAGGCATATCAATCTGTATTATCAACCAGAGAAGCTCATTTAAGCCCCAAGTAGCTAGAGTTTTAACTGAGATGACATTATGCTAGCACAGTTGATTGAATCTCTGGCCATATGACTGAAATCTACCTTCAGGCCACCTCTTTCCCAGAGATCAGGCTGGTATTACTTAGTGTCTTAACTCTCTAATCTTATGGTTTGTCTTTCTGGCATAGTCAACCTCTATCTTCAGTTATCTCATTAGCATAAACCACTTAGAGATTCAGCATGAATCATTGGTTAGTGTAAACCATCAGGACCTCTATGAATAACAAAGCTACTCTTATCATCTGAGAAATTCCAAGAATCTAGCAAATATCTCTCAGGAACTAGAAATAAAGGAACAGCCAAGTTATTATTATTATTATTATTTTCATTATCATCATTGCCATATAGTTAAACATTTGAATAACTTGTGAACAGAGATGCTTAAACTATAATACAATTTTCTTTTTTTTTTTTCTTTTGTAGGGCATAATTTGAGTGTTTATCCTGATTTTGATGTTCCAGGGACAAGTCCCACAATAATGGATCTAAAAGATAAAGAAGAGAAGCGTATTTTAAATAGCAATTTATCTTTTAGGGAAGACCTTGTCTTGTCTACCATGAAATCACCCCAAAGGGACTCTGATGAAGAGGTTACTAGGTGTCCAGAGCCAGATGAGAAGGTTACCACACAAAATCATGTGAACATGTGCCCTGAATCTCAAGTGTATCTGACAATTGGTGAATTGCAGAACAAAACAGGCATTCCTGAAGATGAATGTTGGACTGGCCAAAGGTCTGATGTTGGAACATATCCATTGGCAGATGCTGACATATCTAGGAATCCAGGCCCAGAGGATGGACAGGCCCCAGCACTGACCTACATTGATGTAAAATCTAGCAATAAGAACCCCTACAGAGCTGAACCCACAGTGGTCATTAATGCTCAGCATGAAAATAAGAGTTCTAGAGATACGCATGGATTAGACAGGACTGAACAAAGCAAAGTGGTAGCAGGTGGAACTCATCAAAATGCGTCAGACAAAACAGTTGTCCATGAATTAAGTACTGTAGGAAAGGGAAGAGACCAAGAGAGTAAGATGGTGCTGCTCAGTCTGAAACTCAACCCCGCCGAGCCCTGTGATCCACTTAACTCTACCCCGAGGGAGCCCTTAGATATTAAATCTTCCTTAAAGGATTCTCACACAGAAGAGCAGGAGGAACTGTCAGTGCTCTCTGGGGTCATCAAGAGATCTTCTTCTATCATATCTGATTCAGGCATTGAGAGTGAGCCAAGCTCCGTCGCCTGGTCTGAGGCCCGAAGCAGGGTCCTAGAGTTACCCAGTGATCGAGAAGTCTTGCAGCCATTTGTTCGAAGACATGCCCTCCACAGGAACTCCTTAGAGGGTGGGCACACAGAAAGCAACACGAGCTTGCCAAGTGGCATCCAGGCTTCTCTCACCTCCATCAGCTCTTTGCCTTTTGAGGAGGATGAGCAGGAGTTGGCACTGACCAAGTTAACCAAGTCTGTATCTGCACCACACATCAGTAGCCCAGAGGATGCTGCTGAAGATACTGACACCATGCAGCCAGGTGAAGGTTTTACTGAACCTTCAGATACGCACAGCAAGAGTAAAGATTCCCCTGAACACTGCTCTCAACTTTGTGGTGGCTCCAGAATCCAGGACACTGTGATAGACCATTCCTTGGTGGAAATAATTTTAGATGCTGACAGCCAGCAGGGCCCTGGTTACATAGATATCCCCAAAGGAAAAGAAAGACAGTCTGATCCTCAAGAACACTGTTGTCTTGATGGGAGGACTGAAAACACTCCAGGTGTTGAAACCAAAGCTCTTAATTTAAAAATACCATGTATCGTAGCACTTGAAAACTCTAGGACCAGAATTCTTCATAAAGCACTAATGGAAACCCCAAAGAGCATGCCTAAAGACTTGAATAAGGGCCAACTAGCTCTTTCCAACAGTGGCATCTCAGAGGTTAAGGGTCTCTCCCACCATCAGGTGCCTGAATTGAGCTGCAGGTCATCTACTGATGCCATCAACATGAATTCAACAGGCGAGCAAAGACGAAGTGGTTCGCCTTGCGTTACGGATGACACAGCATTCAGTAGAGAAGCAAATGCCTTTCCAGAGGTTGAATATAAAGCAGACACTGTGTGCCCCACTGTGACTCACTCGACTCACTCTCAAGTTTTAAGAAATCAAGAACCAAAGGCAGACACTTCAGTCCTGGAGTCCCAAGTGACCTCTACAGAGACCTTTTCTATGGACACCCTGAAGGCTGTGGAAGTCCTTAACTTATCTGTGTCTTGCACATGTCTCCCTTTTTCATCTGTGCCCAAGAAGACCCCTGCCATGGCTGGATTCTCATCCAAACAGACTCCATTTCCCATCACTCATCAACCTTTGGGTTCCTTTGGACTTGTTTCTACCCATTCCAGCAAGTTGGAGAAAGAAGTCAGTGAAAGGATGTTTGGGTAAGCTTGCTGATGATGTCACCTATTCCAGAACAGACTTTTTCCACATAATTTTCAATTTCATGCATACTCTTTCAAAATTGAGATATATATTATTTTCTGATTTAAACAAATATATTCATCATTAAATCAGAGATGCAGAATAGTGTAAGGAAGTAAAATTATCAATAAGCCCACCTCCCAAATATAGCCACTGTACATATTTTTCCACATTTTTTCTATGTGTACCTATATTTATATACACTTTTTATGCAAAATAGGGTCATTTTGTGCAAATGCTATTGTAGGTTTTTTAGAAATTTAATAATATATTAGAAATATCTTTCTATGTTTATAAATCTATTTTGCATCATCATTTTAATGTTTATATAATATTCAATTGTATGGATATGCCATGATTTCTTAACCAAATCTTTTACAAATGAACATTTAAATTTTGTTTAACTTTTGTTATGAGAGACAACTCTCTTGTGATGATAATTATGCCTGTATCTTTGCATGTTCCCCAAAGTTTCTGTAAAAGCTTTTGGGGAATATGATTTTTCATCAGATTTGATCCCTACACCTCCTTGAAGTGTGGTGCTTTTAAGTTGATGTTTGCAATGCCAGAATTTTCTTTATCTTTTCTGTTTTATTCATATTACATCCTATCTATAAACTATTTAATTGGGTATATACAAGAATCATTTTATCAAAACAGCTCATTTTATTTCCTCTTTTGCAAAATTCTAAGGAGTTACATATTAATGCTATCCCCCCCTAAAAAAAATTGTACAGTCAGGTAAATGTAGGAACTTTTAATTAATTAAGTTAGTTATTTTTGTAGAGACAAGATCTTGCTATGTCACCTAGGCTGTTCTCAAACTCCTGGGCTCAGGTAACCCTCCAGGTCAGCCTCCCAAAGTGCTGGGATTATAGGCATGAGCCACCATGCATAGCCAGAATTTCTTTCTTTTTTTTTTTTTTTTGAGAAATATTAATTATGCCCAGGTGCGGTGGCTCACACTTATAATTCTAGAACTTTGGAAGGTTGAGGTGAACGTATTGCTTGAACCCAGGAGTTTACAACCAGCGTAGACCACATAAGCAGACCTCCTGTCTACAAAAAAATTAAACAATTAGAAGGGCGTGATAGCACTTGCCTATAGTCCTAGCTACTCAGAAGGTTGAGGTAGGAGGATCACTTTGACCTAGGAGTTCAAGGTTTTGGTGAGCTATGATTGTGCCACTGCACTCCAGCCTGGGTAATAGAGTGAGCCCTCAACTAAAAAAACAAATAAACAAACATAAAACACTTATTATAGGGTACTTGTCATCAATTTCATGAGTACAAAACATGCTGCCCAATGCCTTGCTAGGGTTGTTGTGACCGTTATAGTACTCTCAGTCTAACAGGGAGACAGACAGATGACAGAAGTCAGTAAGGGCAATGCCTGGGTAAATATAATAATTCATGTGTGCATAACTGAGACGGGAAAAAAATGGACCTAATTTGGCTTTTGAATAGAGATATTCAAAATATAGGAGACAACGATGATGACGATAATGATGACATGGATAGTAATAGATCATAATAAGAGATTTTTTTTTAGTTGGAGTCTCACTCTGTCACCCAGGCTAGAGTGCAGTGGCACACTCATAGCCCAGCCTCAACCCGCTGGGCTCAGGTGATCCTTCCACCTCAGCCTTCCAAGTAGCCGGAACTACAGGCATGCACTGACACTCCTGGCTAATTTTTTGATTTGTTGTAAAGATGAGGTCTCGCCAAGGTGCCCAGGCTGTTCCCCAACCCGTGGGCTCAGGCAATCCCCTCACCTCGGCCTCCCAAAGTGCTGGGATTACAGACTTGAGCCACCACACCTGGCCCCAATAAGAGATATTAAGTATTACGGCTGAGATTCTGACTTTGGCAGTCTGACTCCTGAGTCCATGCTCTTAACCATCATCTTGTCAAGGAATCGGGCAAAGTTCATCATAGCCAGATGGGAAGGGCATTTCAGGCACACAGATTTGTATGCACTAAGGCATGGAAGTAAAGCCAAGTCATGTAGTTCATGCAGAGAACTATGAGACATGTTATTTTTGGAGATTGGCAATGGTGAGGAGTGCTGTTGGAGAAAGAGGGCAAGGCCAAGCCTTGATATGCTTTTATGGTAAGCCAAGAAACTTTCCCTCTGGGGAGATCTTTTTAAAGATTGCATGGGTCCTTGGAGCTGGGTAGCATCTTAGAAGTCCTATTACCTGTCTACTGTTCAATGCGGGAACTGCATAGAAGTCTGCAGAACCCAAACCCATAAAGCCTTTGATTTTCTTTGGCTGCTTTTCTTCCTCCTTGTTCAGAACAAAGCTTCACTCACTAGTATCTCCCCTGATGTCTTCTATTCAACATTTGCCTCACAGCAAACACTTAGTTTTTGGGTGATCATCCCTCCTACATACCAACCCAATTCATTTCCTGCTTGAAATGAAATACACAGTTTGTCTTGTGATTAATTATTTTATTCTCCAGTTTTTTTCAGGCCAAAGAAAAATTTAAAAGAGAATTGAAGATTGAAGGATTTCTGTACAGTGACTTAACTGTACTAGCTTCTGATATACCGTATTTTCCACCAGAGGAAGAGGAAGAAAATTTGGAAGATGGGATTCACCTGGTTGTCTGTGTCCATGGCCTGGATGGTGAGTTCTAAACAAACAAACAAACAAAAAACCTTTCTTCTCAAAATTCTGGACAAATTATAATATTTATGAATGAATGCTTATCAAGTATTTATTCAGCAAACTGTTCGATCATCAACTGTGAAATGACAGTGACTATGATGGATCTAGAGAAACAACAGGCCTTGTTCGCAAGGAAAATATCCCTCTGGCACAAAAAAAGCCAATTGAGTAAATGAAATACATAAAAGAATGAATAAATATATTGAAAGAATGAATGGAATAAATCAATAGATAAATGAAATGAAGAGATAATCGAATGTACCAAATAAAAGAAGGAATGGAGAGAATGAATGAATGAAATGAATGTGTTATTGGAATGTATATGTTAATGAAATGCACGAATACAGTAGTAATCAGGATGCATGAATTTATGGAATTCTTGAGTAATGGTATGAATTGTATGGAATGGTATGAATAAAGGAAGAAATGGAGAGGAATTCATTTTGAGGAGTTCAGGTTAGTAGCCTAAACTACTTTGCTGCCTATTTTTATTTACTTCTCACTTTGAGGCATCTTTTGTATAGCAGGCAGTTTACCAAATTCTTGGATTTGCAGAGACAAAGAAAACTTTCTCACTCTCCAAATAATGTCATGCATGACCAGTCTGTAACTCTTGCTTAGATGATATAAAGTTAAAATGTGATAAAATTCTCAACTTATTTTCTAAAATAAGAACTCTGGCTAGACTATAGACTTTGATTTTTTCCCCATCATACATGTAGAGGAATGTTATAAGATACAACAGCTTCACCAGTTTTGTACTATGTTAGAAAAACTGAGCTGTCAATTACTGTATCATCTGAGCAACAAGTTATCAAAAACGCAACTGATACCACACAAGCAGCCCAGGTTTCTTTTGAAGGTTACTTCTCTAGTTCAAGGTGTATATGCCTAAACTCTGAAAGAATTTTAGAGGATCCATTTGTTCAAATTCTATTTCCAAGGGCATGTTTATCTGAACAGAGAACTGAGAACACTGATAGTAATTATGCATATTTACACCACTTTCCATGTTACGCAAAACCCCCAAATTTATATTTCTATAAGTGTTCTCAACACCTTATTAAATCATATTTTCTGAAAAAGCTTTAAGTTGCAGAAAGTTCTCTTTTCCTCAAAAACTGAAGGAGAGAGTGCCATGTTCATCCCTTATTTAAACCCTTTCTGCAAAATATAAACACTTGGCAACTATTTTTTTAAAGGCAGGTTTTGGAATGTTATTATGAAACTTTAAACAACAAGAGAAGCAGCAAGACAAAAGAGTCTAATTTTATGGACAGAAATGAAAAAAATAATAAATAAAATGTAACTTCATAACACAAAATACCCATTCCTTAAAAGAATAGAACTATTTCACAACTATGACTCTGCAAGTCTGGGCATGTACTCTGACAGACCACCAACAAAGGTGGCATTTGGGCATATAGGGTCATCATTTTTAGTGATATATCAGAACAACTGGAGTTCTCACATTCCATGTGGCGCCCTCCTTTGAATCACTGGGCAGTTTCAAAAAGAATTATACAAAATTAATTGTATTTTCACTTATACTTTACAAACTATTTTGCAACAATAACCCATGAGGTATATTTGTATGGTAACGTAGGTAATCTATAGTTCCAAATAAGTAGCTTCTTTAAGCTCTACAGAGAAATAGCCCCCAAATTCATTAACATACAATTGAACCCCTACAACCTGCATGACATAGATGCCTAATTGTTCTTGAATATGAATTTTATTCTGTTAGAAAAACTGAGCTGTCAATTACTTTATCATCTGAGCAACAAGTCATCAAAAATGCAACTGATACCACACAAGCAGCACAGTTTCTTTTGAAGGTTATTTCTCTAGTTCAAGGTGCATATGCCTAAACTCTGAAAGAATTTTATAGGATCAAGTTGTTCACATTCTATTTCCAAGGGCATATTTATATTAACAGAAAACTGAACACACTGATAGCAGTTATGCATATTTACACCATTCTCCATGTTACACAAACCCCCAAATTTATATTTCTTTGTGTTCTCAATTAACACCTTGTCAAATCATATTTTCTGAAATATGAATATCACATCAGTTTTTCACTTTTTGCTTTTGTTTTTAGTTTTTATTTTGAGTTGGAGTCTCAACTGTCACCCAGGCTGGAGTGCAGTGGCATGCTCACGGACACCGCAGCTTCGTTCTGCTGGGCTTAGGCAATCCTTCTGCCTCAGTCTTCCAAGTAGCTGAAACTATAGACACACGCCACCACGCCTGGCTAGTTTTTGCGATTTACTGTAGAGACAAGGTCTCATCAAGTTGTCCAGCCTGGTCTCAAACACCCTGCACTTAGGCAATCCTCCCGCCTTGGCTTCCCAAAGTGCTGGGATTACAGGCTGAGCCACCAGACCTGGCCAGTTTTTCACATATTTTTATTTTAGGAATGCATTTCCTGTGTTCTTTGCACCTTTACTATTAGCTACAACTTCAGATTATCAAAGTTTCATTCCTTTGCCCTGATGATCACTACTAAACATTAATGGAGCCTGCTCTTTCCTGACTCCTGTGCCCAAGGGAGATTCTTATTCAGTTTAGATAACTATGTCATGGTTGGCCTATTTGGGGGCAGTTACTAATTACTCATAGAAGAACTAGATAGAGTTTGTATTAAGCAAGTAATTTAAGAGGAGCTTGTAGATATCACATTGTGCCACATCTGCCATTAGGAGACACTACTTACAAAAATGTCCTGAGAAAATTGAATTTTCTGTGGAAAACAGGAGGTAGCATGCTGTGGCTCCCACTATTCCTGCATACCAAGTGTTTACAAGCCACAAGTTAATAGATAAGGAAAGAACTCCATCAAGGCAGGATCACTAGAAAGGTCCAGTTCTCTCTCTCTCTCTTTATCTCTCTCTTTCGATCTCTCTCTTTCTGTGTGTATGTGTGTGTGTGTGTGTGTGTGTTGCAGGGTGGAGAGGATAGATGGCAGAGGAGCAGGAGGTTGCATTTATTATAGTTGTTTTTATTATATTCTTAACCAAAACATGAGACAAGCCCAGTGGGAATGGGGGAAGAGGAAAATAGAAAGAAATCCCTTTTGTGTCACCCTTTATGCGATTAACTATGGGACTGGGGTGGGGGTTATCTGTCATTTTTAGGGAACAGTGCAGATCTCCGACTGGTAAAGACTTTCATAGAACTGGGGCTCCCTGGAGGAAAGCTGGACTTCCTAATGTCTGAAAAGAACCAGGTATGATGATAAAAGCTTCAGAACTGAAAGGACACCAAAGGCATGTCTTCTATAAACAAGCCTAAATGTACCATGATAATTGATGGAAACACAAGCAGGAGGAGATTTTGCAGAAGAACACTGGCTAGGCATTTGGAAGTGTGGATAGAAAGACTTATTGCTTTATTTTGGGAGAGTCAGGGAAGAATAAGAAATGAGGACATAAGAGTCAGATGACCGGAGCCTTCGACCTCTCAGGGTATCAGGGTGGGCAGCAGCTGGGAGCATGAATTATTTTGACATCCATAAATCCACACTAGAGGGATGGGAACTGTCACTGACATCAATATAACCAATAAAGTTGGGTTATGACAACTTTACAGTCAAGAGGTGATCTGTGGGGCCTTTGCCATTTCAAGGTAGGTGAAGCCTGAGACCCCGTTGAGGTATCAAAGTAAATGAGACTTTAGAGAATCCATGACCAAGAGGCAAGACTGGGTTGAGGGTTGTCATTGATTCCACCCTCAAGGAACATGAGCTGAATGCTTTTTAAGTATTCTTTGAAGAATTGGAACTGATTATTACAAAGTTTTCATGATCATTGGACATGGGAAATGTATAGAGAATAATCAACAAGCAAGCGCTGAAGGTAATATCTGATGTATCAACTGTTGGGGTTCAGCTCTATTGCCTTTTCTTTGGCAACTGCTCTATACAAAGTTGTGCAACATGCAGTGCAAAGAGGAAGAGAAAAAAGAATAATTTTTCTGAGCATGCTGAGTACACTGCACTTGTTTCCTCATCTCATCTTCCAAGAGTTCTATTATATGTTGATAGCACCCTCTCCGCACAGAAGAGGGAATGGAGGCTCTGGGAATTACATAGTGTGTCATTATCAGTCTAACCTAGAGAAGAAGCTCCCATATATGATCTCTAAGAAGATAATGACTATGCACACCCAACTGTAATGAATGGCCAAATTTGACCATTAAAGGGCATTCAGAGGAGGAAGCAGGAAAGTGAGTGAGTAGCACTCACCAACTTTGTGATTTGAGCTAGTGAGCTTTTCTTTTTTGGGACGATGAACATTGTTCAAGATAAACCTGATCAGGAAACAAGACTTCCTAGTGTACACATTCAGCCATGACAGCTGGATTCAATCTATATGACCGCTGGGTTCAAAACCTGCATACCACAGGGGCTTTAGAGCTGAGTCTCTATACTAGTCACTTAATTGAAGGGGTTGGCCACTCAGTATTGATCCACAATGTGTTGTCATTACTTTTTGAGAAAGTGGCACATTTCATAAGTAGGTACATTTGCAATCTATTTCTTTTAAAAATGCCCTTGTTGGGGAGTTTCTGATATTGTATTTTAAACCTACTGTGATTTCCAAAGCATTCCTCATCATGGTCAACTCAGGCCTCTAAATTACAAGCATTATTTAATAATGACTAGATTGAAGTCATATTTTCAAATGAGGAAACAGGTTCTGAAAGATTAGGAGTAATAATAATGGCTCTGTCCTAGGTGTGTTGCATATATTTTATCTAATCTTTAAAACAGTATTAAAGAGTAAGCTACACTATCCCCATCTAAGAGATAAAAAGACTGAGGTTTAGATGGGGAGGTAACAGATCCAAGGCACAGTTCCCATAAATAGAAAAGATGTAAATACGGTTCTTATTCTGGGAAGTCTAAGAGACTTAGCTATGTGCTTTATCCTCGTGTGCTTCAATGCTCATGGGATGGCAGGCAACGGGGAATTTTAAAGGTCTTCTCTTCATTATTCCTATCCCCACACATGCACTTTCTTCTTCACCACCCTGATGGGCATTCATGTAACCTCTCATTCACCTGTCCTAGCCTGGAGCTCAGCACAGCTTTAGCACATGGTATATGACAGCTTTAAGCTCCACTGATGAATAACTGTTTTTGTGGATGCTGACTCCAAATCTGCTTCCCTGTGGCTCCCATCCATGCTTCCAAAAGTTAGTCCTTGACGTTATATGAACCAGTCTAATATCCTCATGCCTGTGCTTCAGATATTCACAAATGTGTGCAACATTTCTCCTCTTTTCATACTCCTGTATCCTTCGGCCATCCTTTACAAGACATGGATGACCTTAGGATCCTTCCCAAAATGATGTCTGAATCTGCCCGCTGGACATGCTTTGTAGCATGCTTTAGCAATTATGCTGGGTAAAGGGGCTTTGGAATCAGGCATGACTTGGTGTGAATCACGGGTCATGCAAGGTGAGCAAGATGCATCCCTTCCCAGAGCCTATTTCCTCCTCTGTGAAGTGGGAACAATATCAGTGGTGTGTGTGAGATGGCTTGCATGTGGCATGCCCTTCGGCACCTTCGGCACCAGTTGCTTGCTACTCTTTTCTGTGTCTTCCAATATTCTCTTTATTGTTCAGTCACCTCCCAACTGAGAATTCTTTGGCATCTCCATGTTTCTTTATTAGGGCCCCAATCTGTGGGCCTTTTGTCCTGAAGACAAAACTCACCCCATAACCCTAACATGAGGCATAGGCACACCTCCTGAAGGCATCGTGTTTATTGGAAGAAGACAGGCTGGGCACAGAGCCCAGCCTTGGCCATGATTGCACCCAATACCCTGTTCCTCTCTCTTCTTTCAGATGGACACATTTGCAGATTTTGATACCATGACAGATCGGTTATTGGATGAAATCATTCAACACATTCAGTTATACAACCTCTCCATATCCCGAATTAGGTAAAAGGAAACCACAGGTAGTTAATGCTGGGGGAAGAGGGGTGACAGTTTTGAGTGTTTGTTGTATACAAGTTTAGTATCATGTGTTCTGTGTACCACTAGAATAAGTTAACTTGTTACTTTCAATGGAATGGATAACTTTTAGAGCAGAAGTGAGTACCAGGGCTGGTGGACACACTTATAACTGTCATAGTGTGTGTTGGGAAGAACAAACATTTGTAGCTTAGTTGGAAGAATATTGGACTTAAAACTCCCTAGGTTTGAATTTTTGCTTACACTCACAGGTTTGAATCTCGACTCTACCATACACTGGGGGTATACCCTTTTGCAAGCTTTCTAAATCTCTGAACCTTTGTTTCCTTATCTATTAAGTGGGACTAACACTGAGATGATGGCATCAAATACCTGATGGATTACCTGAGAGAGTTTCAATCAGGGCTGCTGTAACGTACAACTTCTTGTAAATGTTTACATGATTAAGATGATACCAGCTTGAATTTTTTTGTTAGTACTTGAGTATATAGACAAATAATTCTTTCTATGCTTTATCTAAGAATTATATGTCTAATTATATGCTAATCCCTCAAGATGCATTGTACCATTTAATCTTCCGAGATAAAATATCACTTCCTTATTCCACAAATGAGGATTCTGAGACCCAGAGAGGTTAGATAAAGACATAAGGACATGAGCTAGGCCGTGCAAATTCATAGGCTGCCACTCATTTCCTTTCATGGTTGATTTTATGCCTATCCTGAGAAGGGGTAGGGAGGAATACTTCTCATACAATAGGGCTTCACAAGATAATTATCTGATTGGAAAGTAATGATATGTTGACTCCATGGACCTGTGGACCTGTGAGTAGAAGTATGGCTGGAGTGGAGCCTGCAGGAGGGGGTCGAACATAATGTGACTGCAAGCAGGTGGCTCAATAAATAATACACGGGTAAGCGAGGGAATGGATTACATCAGAAGTCAGGTTGTAAATGACATCAGGAGCAGGCTAAAGATTGATACTCTAACCTGTGCATGACAGGAGAATCAGTGTTCAGAGGAATAGTTCATAAAGGACCCTCCTTCCCCCAGGTGGACTGAGAAGAGGCTGCTGTAATAACACAAAGCTGGGAACAAAGCCCACACTTCTCTGACCACACTGGGCACACAGCTGCCATTCACAAAGACCTCATCTCAGGCTTCATGTAGTCAGAGTTTGGCAATCTGATGAGAATGAATTAGTGGTCCCTATTTTCTTTGTCACTTCCTCTCAATATCTCATGGGAGGCGGAGTGAAGCTGGCACCTCAGTGCTCCCAGCACAGCACTATCATGGCTGCCCCCTTTGCTGTCACACTCACGTGTAATTTTTCTATCTCTAAACAGCTTCATTGGCCATTCTCTTGGCAACATTATCATTCGATCGGTCCTCACACGGCCCCGGTTCCGATATTACCTCAACAAACTCCACACATTCCTGTCACTGTCTGGGCCTCACCTGGGGACCTTGTATAACAACAGCACCTTGGTTAGTACAGGTAAGACTCTTCCAGATCTCATCTTTCCTCAAAATTAACTTGGAGCACTGGGGACATTAAACCAGAGGCATAAGTTATTTTTTATGAACTTCTGTTACTTTGGAGTGTCTTCCAAGCATGGTATAATAGAAAGAGATCTGGACTTAGAGATGTGGCCCTTTTGTCCATCAGTTGAGTAAGGTGAGGCTAGAAGATTTCTAAGATCATTTCTGCCCTCAAATTTCTGTGAACAAAATGGTAATATCCTTGGGGCTGTGGTTGGAAAAGATTGACAAAGTACAATGTTCTGTGAAGAGAACAAGGAATTTGAAGCATGTCACTTCCATTATAATCCTGTGGTTAATTTCTCACCAAGATACTTAGGGAAGACTCTGGCCAAGATATTTGATCTCTGTGCTACTCAGTTTCCCTATTTGTAAAATGATGATCATGTATGCATGTCTATGTATATATACAATTATGATATATATGTATAAACATGAATATGATATATATGTATACACATTTATTGTGTGTGGATACATGTGTGCATGTGCGTATCATAGAATCATTGAGGATTAAACAGGAGAAACAAAATGATGTTAACTCCCATCTATGGAACATCAAATGCAGCTGGATTCTCACTGCTCGATTCCCCTCAGTGCTGAGGCTCTCACAATATCATCTCTGTATTAAGGGGGAAATCACAGAAAGTAAAGAAGCAAGACTCAGCCTATATTGGATGATGAGCAGAATTTCCAAGGTAGTGAGTGGTGGGAAGAATTATCTTTGCAGCAGAAATAGTGCATATAGCAACATGGTGTAACCAGCAAACTGCAGGCAGTTCTTTGTGACAGAAATACAACATGCCTGATGGAGCAGGAGGTGATGAAGGCCTCACATTATGTGAGAAGATGTTAGACTTACTCTGGAGACCCCAAAGATGCTACTCATAGGGTTTTAGCTGATGAAGTGATATGATTTGATATATGGAAGCTCAAGTAGACTGTTGGGCCTTAGATAATAAATAGTCTATTAAATTATGTTTTTAATAAACATCTCAGCAATAGCATCCCTCTGCGGTCTTCCAGACTTCTGCCCCTGTTCCCTGTGCTCTTCCTACACTCAGATCATTTCCTCATGACACAGTCAGATTAAATTTGTTTGCTTCTAAGTTATTTTGAGGCTATTGCTTGTGAGCATGAATTATCTGATGCATTGATAAGTAGTAAACAGAAGACCTTTTCTCTGTACTCTCTCTTTCCTCCCAAGCCAAGAAAGCCATCTGTGAACAGAAAAAAACATGTTAAGCCATATTCCCCCCACCCCCAGTTATGAAGTAATCTTGCAACACTATAAAACATTTTTTAAAAAGAGACATTACTGGTTATTTCTCCAATCCAGCATAGCTAGAATAATTTTGCAGAGTTCATCCTACTTATCTTTGCGTACATACACATTTACATAGCCGTCAGTGTAATGTATGTACATACAAGTACATTTTCCGTCATGTTTCAATCAAATTAATTTGTCGTGGTGATGCAATGCTTATGCTCATCAATGTTATTCTTTGCATAAAGCATAGTTAAATGGATGGATTTGAAATAAGCTGTTTATTTCAGCTTTACAGTATAATAAATGGATCTGTAAGAATCATGCTTACATACTTTTCACATTGAAGACTTTTTCCTTAGGCTTCATTTTCAGAAGAGATTGAATGAATTGGGGAGTGTAGTTTCCTGACTATGAAGTCTCTTGCTCTGTCATTTTGTAGGATGATTTTATATCCTGGCCACCAGTACATAAGACAACGAATGTACCTCTAACTCCCCAACTAGTCGCTAAAATACTTACTACTCTCTTATTTTTAAGTGAACTAAAGTTTACAGTTTAATATTAATTTTCTTCCCAATTCCATCACAATTCTTTTTGTTTTGTTTTTGATGTTTGGTTTGCCTTGCTTTTGTCTTCCTAGGTTTGTGGCTCATGCAGAAATTGAAGAAATCCAGGTCCCTACTGCAGCTGACCTTCAGGGATAATGCTGATTTGCGCAAATGTTTTCTCTACCAACTAAGCCAAAAAACAGGTGAGTGGTTTCCCCTGCAGCTGCAGTCATGAGTTTGAGCTTAAGATCCAAGCCCCAAGACACAAATTAGTTATATTGCCATAGTTGACTCACTCACAGAAGGGCATATTCAGTAGGCACAGCACGCAAAGCCTCCTCAACTCACTGGGAGTCCAGCAGCTACCCAAGAAGTCAGCTTGGCCTGCCGCCTACATGGGTAAAAGATGAGAGCCAAGGTGTATGTAAGGTCATCTCAACACACAGAAGCCATAGCTTTCACTTCTCACTAATATTTCAATATTCTAATTGCTTAGGTTCAACATCTGTGTGCCAGCTTCACCCAGGCACAGATCCATCTACCAAAAGGGCAGATGCAACATTGTCCACTCATGCTGACTATCAGTAGGAGATAAAGTTCTTTCTCAGGCAGGCTAGCTATTAGGCCTTCACCTGCACTTTGTAATGCACACATGCATAGAGGTGGAAAGACTCTACCAGTATCGTGAGAATGATCACAAAGGACAGCAGCCATCATGACCATGACCAAGTGATCTCCATGTCCAGTAAGAAAGAGCAGCCAATTGATTGTCCTTCTTAGTCCTGCCAAGCAAGCTGGCCTGGCCCAGAATTTGTTCCTTGGGTCAGTCTTCCGTAATTTATAATCACTGTCTGTGTTTATATACCTCTCTACCTTCACAAATGTAAATCTGGTGTAACCATGGGCTGATATACAATCTTAGTCAAGTTCCTTTCCCACTTTGTGTCTCTGTGTGTTAAGTTGAGCTCGCAGAGTTATCTCCTATGGGGAACGAGGAAGGCAGGATTCTGCACAGGGGAGATGGGGTTGCAATGTGGTCACCACAGAGGTAACGGGGAGCTCAGGAGCTGGAATGGCATTGCAGAACTGTCTTGAAGTAGGACAAAGCGCAGTCTGTTACATCCTTGTCCTCCCTGCCCTGTATGTTCACCAGCCACTGATACAGGCTGTCCACCAGTATGCAATCTTGAGATGTGGACTTGGATGATGGGACCCACTTCAATGCTGGGACACACAGCTTAGAGCTGCCAACCACCTGCCTACTAAGCAGCATCTCTGTGGTGAGAAGGGAAGCCTCTGGTCCAGTTGGAGACCATGGGTGGCGCAAGTGCCCTAGAGATCCATGTAAAGCTCTGAGGACTGGAGGGATAGGCTGTGATGCTTACTTTGAAGGATACTCTATCTGCATGGTGGGAGATGGATTGTAGGAAGGCAAGACTGGAGGCAGGGAGGTGAATTTGGAGTCTTTTCTAAAAGCCAGTGATGTGGGGGTGAGGGACTGAAATAAAGGGAGATGTAAGTAAAGAGCAGAATACTCAGATTTACTTCCTTATAGACTGCTTACTATTTCTATCCCCAAAATACTTTTTTTGGTCATAACTTATTACTTATTTCTCACTGTTTAGGGTAGCTTGCTGTGTGTCTCTTTAGCTACTGTGGCTGACGCGAATAGATTTCATCTTCCCTCTAAAATGCAAAAGCTCTGGTATAGGGACTTATTTTCTCAACCCCCATAGGTGCCAGCCTTACCTCTCTGCCATCAGCTATACATTGTTAACCCTCAGGACAAAAAGTCCTTATTCAATGACACAACCAATGAGTCTAGAATCTCCTGACTTTTCCTCTCTCTAGGACATGTCTGAAAATGTGTGCAAACCAGAGGGTGTCTAATTTGAATGTACTTGGGTAAACAGCACTCACCTGGCTAATTGTTACAGGGCTGCAGTATTTTAAAAATGTTGTGCTGGTTGCTTCTCCCCAAGACCGCTATGTGCCATTTCATTCAGCCAGGATTGAGATGTGTAAAACTGCCCTCAAAGACAGACAAACAGGTAAGCTGCATTTAATTTTTTTCTTAGACTTTCTGATTTAAAAAGCAAAAGTCATAGACTCTAAGTTCATCCAGGTTGCTGTGAAGTTCATGATTTTGTTCTTCTTTATGGCTGTGTAATATTCCATCATGTATATGTACCACACTTTTTAAAAATCCAGTCTTCAGTAATACTGAGTGCTCTTTCACAGAAACAAAGAACTGAGTATCACATGTTCTCACTCATAAGCGGACCTTGAACAACTATCGTAATACTATAAGAAAAGGATTGGCAGTGGCAGGAAACTGCGGGGATAGGGGGTGGGGGCGGGGGGGCGAGATTGGCAGTAGTGGGAATCTGCCTGGGGAAGGGAGGGCACACCTCATCAACATAATGAACATTTGTATACCTCATCCTGAATTGTTCCCCACATCTTTAAAACTAAAAGTTAAAAAATAAAAAGCAAATGTTAATTTACGAAATAGACTATGCCTATTAGGAACACCCTGGCTCTTGGTAGCATAGCACTGTATTTACCTGAGAACTGAATAATATAATGGGCATAACTCATCTGTGTGTGTATATAAACCTCGATGTTATTGTCCCAGCTGCTTCCTTTGTGGAATAAATAGCCACATGTTTGTTAGATTATGAAACTTTTGTTCAGTCCTGTTGTGTGGCCAGTCACTGCAATAGATATCTGGGATGTAGAATCCAGTGAGACAGGTCCTTCCCTCAAGAGACACATTATCTAGCTGCAGTGTCAGATGAGTACTATCAATGAGAGTACAATGTGATAAGTCAAAGAAATAAAATAATATATAATGCACTGAGGTGGCACAGCAGTGGAAAAAGACATAGGACAGAGTCAGTCAAGAATCCATGGAAATGACATCTGAGTTAGGTTTTAAAGGATAAGTAGGAGTTTTCAAGCAACAGGGACAGGGACATGGGCTAGTATTTCTGGCTTCCTTTGAATAGTTAATTTCTATGTCAGACATTTTTATTGTTTTTTTTTTAAATAAATGGTGTTTTTGTTGTATTTTAAGGCATTCTTAAAAAGTAGACAACCAAAGATCCAAAGATTTGGTATTAATGTATAAATGAGTATATTCAAAACTTTTACTAGGACTAGAAAATCCATCATCAGACATTTTGATGAAAAACATGTTAAAATTAATTTTAATATGTAAAATAACATTGCACTTTATATTTCCTAGTATATATACTAAAAAAAATTAGGCACACAACAAAATGATATTCATTCTAATTAAAAGTGTTCAGTTATAGAGTATTTTAAAAGTCACATTTATTTAAGCAAATTATAATATCTAATTCCACCTCTTCCACTACTTACCTTTCATGTTGTTCTTCTAGTATGTTTGTATGAGTAGTCACATTAAAAGTTATAATTGCGTGTCATGATTTGATTTAGAATGATGTCATATCCATTTTTCCATGTTGACAAAATATTATAAATAAAAACACATTCTGATAATTATACACTATAGTTACTGATAATGTAATAAATATTTTCCCCATTATTGCACATGTAGGTTGCTTCCAGGTTTCTTTTTTAATTGTTATGTGATAAAAGACTTTGTGTGAATATTTTTCAGAAATCTGTAATGTTTTATTAAAATAAATTTTAGTAGTAATATCTTTGAGGGAAAATACTAATGAGTTAATGCTGTTGAATTTTTTTTTTGCCACATTGTCTTCTAAAATAATGACACCAGTTATGTCTTTACTGTTAGAATATATCAGTGTCCACCTATCTTACTCTACTATCTTGAGATTGAATATTAATTTAAAGATATTTGCTAATAATTTTTCTACCTGAGTTTTTACACATTGATGCTTTTCTCATATGTATTTTTATGTTTTTCTGATTGCCTGTAGGGCACCGTTATACATTAAGATCTGCAACAATAAACAGAGTCAATGACCTGGTTTTAAGTTCAGGATTGACTAAACACAGTCATTGTCTATAGATCTCCAACCTTTTTCTTTGTGCAGGCATTTGCTAATTTTCCTTGCCTACTTTCTTATCTTCCTGACATAGAGAAGTATTTTTGGTGACATTTTGACCTTGGTGAAGGCTTAAAGACAGGATTCAACCACTATGGCCTATAAACCAAATCTAACCCACTTCTGATTTTTTAAATAAAGTTGTATTGGAATGTAGCCACACCCATTGTTTTACATATTGTGTGTGGCTGCTCTTATGCTATAATTGCAGAGTTAAGTTGAATAGTTATGACAGAGAACGTATGTCCTGGAAAGTCTCAAATAATTACAGAGAAAGTTTGCCACAAAGAGAATAAAATTTTATTCATTATGTGCCAGACACAATTCATGCACTTTGCTCATCTAATTTTATCTTCACAATGGCCATTTAAGGAGAAGAGAGCACATCTTCAAAGAATGTTAATATATGACTTAAATTGTTTAGTGATCCTGTCAATCATGAGAAAAATAGCATCTCTTTTCCAAAATTCATATTGTTATATCTTTATGTGGGCATCAAATAAATGTGGCTTAATTGGTGAATTAAATATATATGAATACTTGATATGGAGTTTAGTTTATATAGGTTTAATGCTTTTATTTTTATCATGAGGTACCAGTATTTCTATTTTTCAAAAATTCTGAAATAAAATACCTTTCAACCTCCTCTGTCTTTATGTAACCTTCCAATTTATTCAGTACATTGTCATGTGAGTAATTTGCTTCTACCATGAAATTCAATCAAGATAAAAACAGTGCTGTATTTGAAGGGGAAAATTAAAGGTCTGCTATATATTTAAAAAAATACTTACCAAGAATTGCCTTAAGGGCTTATAGAACCAATAAAGATCTCAGCAGAAAATGATCTGATTGAGTAATCACTACATCTTGAATGACTTTTTTCTTTTATAAATTACTTTTATTACATATACAATTGAAACAAATTATGGTATTAGTTTAACAATAATATGCTTCTATTTTCGGTTATTAGACACACTTATGCATTATTTTTGTTATTATACAGTATTCATATACATAATTTTAAAGGGGCATAGAATCATTTAACCAGCCCATGAAGCATGGTTTACTTAGCCATTGCTAAATTTTAACTGACTTGCATTTACCCTCTGAAAGAATACTTCATTCTAAAATGGTTATGGTATAACCTTTTAGCATCTTATTACCTATTGTAATGGCCACCATTATAAAACATCAGTGGGCTCTTGGAAAGGATTATACCCTCTATTTTAACCCCAAATTCTTTTCAGCTGAATTGACATGGCTAAAACCAAATACATAATTATTTCAATTTTACAGTTTAATCTCCCCCGCTTCAAAGTCTCTATCAAGACCCTGAGAAGGAAAAAAAAAATGCTCCTGGCATTGTGAGGAGTCCAACTGCCCTTCCCAGTCTGAGAGAACAGAGCTCCAAATGTTCAATATGGGTTCCTTCATGTGACACAGAGGAGCATCTGAGTGAGGCTGGTTAAACTCAGAATAAGCATTGTCTCTCTCATCATACAAACTGTGGTTTCATACTGGCTTTATAAAGGAAATTTGGTTATTTGGAGTGGGTACCCAGAAACTTGCATCACAACCTCTGATTGCTGTCTCCTCGTTCGGTCAAAAGCAAAATATCCCAGCTCTCAGTATCATTCCAGAAGGTGGCTCTCAATGATATAAAAATTCTCACAAACAGTTTTGCAGAAAGGAAGAGCACGGTTCTAGAAAGTATTAATTATAAACTCAAGGGTGCAAATTTATTTATCCCTGAACTCAATTTCACAGCTGGGCTCTATGACTTCCACTATGTGATGCAAAATTGCAATTGAGTCACATCTAGTTGAAAGCATAGTTAATCTAGACTCTCTATTGTAAAAACAAAACAAACCAACAAACAACCGAGATCTTTTCCTTTTTCTCCCTGGCATCCAGAATTGGGGGAGACTGATGAAATGCCACCTGGCTTGTAATGCATGACATCGGGGATATCTGCTTCCACTTCTCTATTAAGATGTGTCTCCAGCCCCCAAGGTTCCTGAAATAGAGCTTCATTCTCTGAGGATCTTTCCTGGGGTACACTTCCTTCTCTACTCTCCTGCTGAGAGGTTCAATATCTACTGAAAGGCACAGCCTTCTGTCCTTCATTCTTCCATGTGTACAGGTCCATGATGCTACTGTGTGGAACCCCCTGGCTATTATAGTCAAAAGAATGTTGATTTTATTATTTATCCAACTCACATTAAAAGGAGGTTGAAACCTGCTTTATAAAGATCTGGCCAGGAATAGGATCCCAATGCACATTCAGTATTGCCCTCTGGATTCCACTGCACACTTCTGTACCAACTTCATATCCTCCTTCTCTTCTTTCAGGGCCAGTTTATGCGGAAATGATCAACAACCTTCTGGGCCCTCTGGTGGAAGCCAAGGACTGCACTTTAATCCGACACAATGTGTTCCACGCCCTGCCCAACACTGCCAACACCCTGATCGGCCGAGCTGCTCACATCGCCCTGCTGGATTCGGAACTCTTCCTGGAGAAATTTTTCTTGGTGACGGGACTCAACTACTTCAAGTAGTAGCTTTGAGGGAGCAGACCTCGGGTAACAGCGAGCATTAGCTGAGATGTGCATCTATAGACCTTTTCATTTCAGGGTGAAGCTACAAGAGAACAGCATTGAGGGAGAGAGGTTGGGTGAAACTGGACATTAGAGGTGCTTTTGTTGTGGAGATTTGGGAAAGCTAAGCAAATAGTGTAAGTGACAACAAACTTTGCCTGGATGCTTCTAGCCACCTGGAGTCACATTCAAGATGCTTTCTAGTAAAAACATCAGAAAATAAAGAAACAGACTCTTTGGAGTTGATGAACCCACCTTTTTTCAGCCACCACTGGCTCACTGAAAGATTGCTATAACTTAAATAGACTTGCCCAATATGTTACTAGCTCATAGCTTTATCATTTTTATTAAATTAAGTGCACACAAGCATTTCAGAACTCAGGTTAACCTCTGTGCAGAAGTGGAACATATTTGTGTAAATAGGATTCTTAATAGATTCAAATGTGCCACTTGTTAAGAAAATGTGATGCCCATACTCAAATTATCTCTTCATGTTTTGGGAGCAAAGAACGTGTTATAAATCCCAGTTGTATGTCATAACAGCTATGACTGGGGTGGCTTAATGCAAGAAGGGATAAAGGCAATGCTATTGGTAAACACAAATTTGTTATAAACAAACATAACTGTAGGGAACATATTGAACTAGTTTCTCCACCTACTTCTTCAGATTTTTTGTATGCATAGCCCTGGTCCACAAATTATTTCTGTGATGGCTTAAATCTCTGTCTCTAGTAGGGAAAATTGAGTGAGACTAAACCTAGCAGAAGGGGGCACTAAGATTAATGCGCACATGTGTGAAGCTCCTGCTGATATATTTCCAAAGAAATGCTATGTTAGCATTTGATGCAATTGCAAAAAATTAAAACCATTAACATGGCCAGCTGCTTCTCCATGGAAGGAGAAAGACATCTAAATGGAGGAGTGCTGGATTATAACCTCAGGGGAGCTCTAAGAAGGGTGCTGGTTATCTTTCAATAGAACTGTCTTCTTGCCTTAGGAAAATAAAGGGCTAGGAAGGGTCACCGTTGATTTAAAAAAAAAAAATTAGACAACAGGGGAAAAAGTGAGATCAGATGGGAGAACAACAGCCAGACTCAAGACTCAAACTGTTATTGGTAAGTGACTAAAGGAGAAATTTTGAGAATTACCAGGATGTTTAATATGGTCCCAAGGACTGAGTATACTTTACGGGCTAAAGGAAGCCCAAAGGATCATTTAGTTACATGGAAGGAATTCACGAACTTGAATAACTGAAATGAATAACACAGGAACCCTATCTTCTGAAGATAAAAACTGCTTCTACAAAAACTCCTTTCTAAAGTGCAGAAACTCATCTGGGATCAGATTGCTTGTCCCAGCACCTGGACTGTGACTCTAGGTCACTGATGCCATGGTAACAAAGCAAGTAAATCTAGACTTACCTGAAAAGGTTAAATCTTTGTATATTGACAATATGACTTTGAAAAACAAATGCTAGGCCATGGAAAGCGAGTTCAGATAAGCAACTTTTCAGAAAAGTAGGTATGTTTATTTCTTTAAAAAAAAATGTGGCGGGGAGTTGAATGATTTGAAAAGGCAGACTTCTACGCATGGATTTAGGGTTTCTGTGAGGGTCTTTTTTGGATTCCCATTATATCCCAGTATTAACATATATGGGTTCACTAATTCCTCTGGTCACTTTCCATTGGGTATTTTTTTTCTGACCTCCTGGGTCAGTGCTGGGCTTAGACTCTGGTTACACATGAGCAGCAACGTATTCACTTTATAATCTGGAAGACACTTGTTTCCCAGGTCTTACAGCCCATGATGTTGTGCTTTCTGACCTAGACAAGTGCCCATGCTCAGTGCAGGACCATAGGTTTGTAGCAACTTCTCCTTTCTGGCCAAATGATGGGCCCTATTCCTTTGACAGGCACATTTCATGTTGTGTTTCCAATTCCCATCGCAATGTTTGTCATTCCCTGGTCGTTTGAAAGACCGTGTAGCCAACGGTTATGAAGCCAGGATGATTCCGATGATCATCATCTTTTCCAATAACCAGATGCCATTTTTAACTTCAATATGCTGTCTGGACATAGTGAGAACTAATGGCAATAAAGTCCAGCTGCATGGTGCACCTCTTTTTTATAGGGGTGTTCTTCTGTCTTTGTAAATCCTCTCTGGCCTCTGAGTATCTATTACAATTGTGTAGAAAGTACATCTCTATATTGTAAATAAGAATGTCAAGTGTTGCGTCTCATGCCTCATTTGAAAAGGCTTTTTTATGTATCTTTCTATTGAAGTATAGATATCTAATATATATATAATATAAATATATATAATGTAAAACATGGACAATTCTATTATTGATTATAAAAATTATAAACAAAATGCCTGCCAAGATAATGGTCTAGTATGTCTTCATTCTCTGTGTAATTTTTGTTTTTTGTTTTTATGATCTGTTAAGTTTTCCAGAACTAGTTAGAAATAAAAATTACCAATACTGAGATTAATTGGAATTTGTTTTTTATGAGCCAAACAAGTCCAGAGACGCAGATATTATCCTAAAGTCACCGTGGGGCAAAATAAATACCTCAATGGCAGGTCGAAAGCAATGGAGTGCTATGAACCTGGAAGAAGGTAAAGAGAGAAAAGCCTCCTGTCAGTTTCTATAATTCACTGGTATTTACCAAGCAACTTCAATCTGTGCCAGGTGGGAGTACAGAAGTAAAATGCACAGTTTCTGCTCTCAAGGAAAATCCAGGTTTGTTTTTACAATGTGGTATAATGAGGGCTTGGGTATGGGCATGGACAGGTGCTTGTTGCTCCTAAAAGTCCACTACTTATTGCCTGGGAAGGCTAACGAGAGGAGCTTGAGAATGAGACTTAAAAGGTGAGATGATTTGCCTTGTATGTCCAGTCACCACTATGTGCACTTTTTCATTACTTTATTCTTTCATTCACTCATTCAACACATTAATACTGAGGGCCTACTCTGTGCCAGTGGTGTGCTAGTGTGGTATAGCAAGGAATATGGCTGACCAAATGGGAAATCAAAGTAGGTAGGCTCCACAGAATTGGTTGGACCTTTACGTGTGCTCAGAGGAGGAACATCAGTTTATATCAGGGATGTGGGATAGAGTTGATCAGGAAAGGTGTCATGGAACTCTTGATGTCTGAGTTGAGTATGGGCTTAGTGAGAGTGACCCAGTGGAGGTGGGTTGTGGGGATTCCTCAGGGAACAGAGTGAGGGCTTCAGGTGAAGAGTAAAAGAGGCGGGAAACTTGATCACTGAAGAGGTAAATGGAGAGTTTGCATACAGAATGACAAAAAGGAGGTGTGAGAAGTCAGCCACCGTGTAGGATTTTTTTCTTCTAACAGGAGAAAATTGTCACTGTTAACACTAGTAGGGCAATTTCCTCTAAAACTTGAAATACCCTGGAAGACCAAGGACTTCCTTCCCTGCCATCATGCCCTTCCCCAGTGTTGGCTCTGTGGGAGAGATCTGATCCTTCCTATCTTGGAAGAAGTCTAGCCACATCCTTCACCATCACTCATTTCTGAAATTTCCATTTGAAGAGCATAGTAGATATGTCTGCTGGATGTTTCATGGATAAAAGCTATAATGTATAGCATCGTATAAACAGGCCAAGAAGAGGGAATAGTCATTTAGTTAAAATTATTATCATTATTATTATTACTATTATTATTATTATTCATGGAAGCCATCAAGTGAAATTCCTTATTAATATTTGAGGTGACAACACAAATTGCTCTTGGATCATACAATTTTTATACATAAAGGAATTTAATCCTCAGTTTACAGTTAAGTAATCTGCAGCCCCACAAGACTGGGTTATAACTTAGTCAAAGCTACAGTCTTTCCTTTGGTCACAAATATTTCCAGACAGACTTCAATGAACCAAGTGTTGGTCATAAAGCAAAAACAAAACAAAAAAAATGTATTACATCCTGATGGAGCGTGTGCATACAAGGGGAAGGTAGATCATGAACAGAAAAGCACAGGCATGGTGAGTGTGGCCATGACCAGGTTCAGAAAGACTCTGAGAGGAGCCGACAGGAGGATTGCCCACACAGTAAACAAATGGCAAAGAACAAACTAGACATAATAGAATATTTTTCTGTAAAGAAGGAAAACATTTAAGAGTACTAGGACATAGCCGGGCTGGGTGGCTCAGACTGTAATCCCACGCTTTGGGAGGCTGAGGTGAGTGAATTGCCTGAGCCCGTGGGTTCGAGACCCGCCTGGGCAACTTGGTGAGATCTCATCTCTACAATAAATCAAAAAATTAGCCGGGTGTGGTAGCACGTACCTGTAGTTCCAGCTATTTGGAAGGCTGAGGCGGAAGGATCGCCGGAGCCCAGCAGGTCGAGGCTGCTATGGCTAGGAGCAGCCACTGCACTCCAGTCTGGGTGACAGAGTGAGACTACAACTCAAAAAAAAAATTTAAAAATTAAATTAAATTAAAAAAAAGAGTACTAGGACATGACAAAGTGTGCCACTAGCCCTCACCATGTAAGATGATGGCAAATGAATTGAAAGACTGCAGTCAGGTATATGCAAACCACTGCATATAATTGTCACTTATTTTTTCTTTGAGCCATGCTGTTTGGTTTCACAACATATATGCCTGAACATGGCAATAATCAGGGCTGTTGGGTACAATTGTGCACGTGGTGTAGAGAAAAGAAGTATGACCATGGCAAAGAATACATAGAACTACTGTTATACCTTCTTATGCCATCATTGCAAGATACCTATCCCAATATCCTTAGCGGGGTCCCTTCCCGCCATGGAAACTTTTCTGTCCTCTCAATAAATCCTGCTTTAAAAAAAAAAAAGTAAAACCAATCTGGAATCGTGTTGACTTAATTTTTAACAAATGAAGGAGCAAATGAATGGAAATAGCATACATTCCTAAACTTTGTTCACTAGATTTTTGTATATGTTATTTCATTTAATCCTTAAAACCATGTAATACACAAATGATGCTGAGAGAAGTCAAGTAACTTGCCTAAGCTTATACAGCTTAGCAGTGGTGGAATCAAGATTTGAATCCCAGCCTCCTTTTTATCCTGTATGCTACAATTTCTGCAACTCAAAGAAGTTTCTTTTTTTTTGAGTTGGATTCTCATTCTGTCACCCAGACTGGAGTGCAGTGACCGCTCCTGGTCACTGCAGCCTCGACCTGCTGGGTTCCGGTGATCCTTCTGCCTCAGCCTTCCAAGTAGCTGGAATTATAGGCACGCGCTACAACGAACAGCTAATTTTTTAAATTTATTGTAGAGATGAGGTCTCGCCTAGTTGCCCAGGTAGGTCTTGAACCCACGGGTTCAGGCAATTCACTCACCTCAGCCTCCCAAAGCATGGGATTACAGGCTGAGCCACCAAAGTCACACATCTTGTTCAATTGAAAGTCAGGGTTCAAGTTCATGTCTCCTAAACCATAATCTTCTGATCTTTCTAGTATAATATGTTCTTTTTTTTTTTTTTTTGCCAAATCACAGTAAAATTTATTGAAATTTTCTTAATTGGGCTGTAAATATCAACATAAAAATAATTCCTTTGAATTTATCATATATTTATAAAAGTCATAATACGTTCTAGCTAGTCAAATTGAAATCCAGAGTATATTTTATCACTGATAAATGTTAGCACCAGTTGTAAGTGGAAGATTTAGTCAATCTAACTAATACTAGCCAATTAAGATAGTTATTATTCTACTAAGGTTATATTAGGTTTTTAATGTTTATAGTTCTACAGGATGATACATTTCACCAGCAAAATCTATTGCTATTCCAACAATCTAAACCTAAATTAGCGAATTTTTAATATTTTGACCATACTATTCAATACATAATACATCTTTAAAACACACACACACACACACACACACACACACACACACTCTGAATTTCTCCAAACAGTTCTTATTGTTTTTTTTTTTTTAATCAGTATTTTTTATTATGGTTTTGTGGGGTACAGTTAAGGGT